AGCAAATGGAAAAGTTAAATGATGTTAAACGTGAACAAATTAATTCGGGGCTCATGAATTTTAAACAAGGGAATAAAGTTTTAATTCATCTCGATTATGGAAAAACTGATAAATCAATGACAAAAAGAAGACGAAGATTTGACACAATAGCTGAATTTGTTAGATATATTAACGGCAATGCATTAGTTGAAGTTGACAATAAATTAATAGAAATTCCGATTTATTTTATTACTCCATTATATTTAAATAATATTTAATTTTTTTATTTCGTAAGAAATGAGTGACAACGAAGCAGTCAAGAGTCCAGACGATGAATATAAAAAGAAACTAAACAGAATTAAATCAAAAATATGCTATTACAAAAAGAAGCCACAATGCGGTGGGGTTGAAAACGATAAAGAAATAATCGAAAAATTAGAAACTTACCGTTCAATCCTTAAACTGAGTGAAGCAAAAATAAAAGAATTTAATAGAATAAATAAATTGGTTGGAAGAGATGAATTTAATAAAGATGAATTTTTAAACTCTATCCAAATTTAATTTTTATTCCTCTTCGACAACATCTCTCTTTCCATCATTACTGCATAACCACATTTTCTCAATTTTAGTGGTTTGTTATTTTTAACATGTTCTTGCATCATTTTTATCATTTCCTCCCTTGTTATGATTCGTGGTAAATTTTGAGCTTGTGGGGTATCCATTTATGATAAAAATAAAAATTTAAATTATGCCGTTCTAAAGTTTGTGACAACATGACATTTTGACAACAACGCAGGAGGAAGGTAGTTATGACTTATTTTTGAAGAACTGAAGGGGTCACCAGGTCACCAGGTAATTTAACTCATGACATTTTGACAACGCAGGAGGAAGGCAGTTATGAATTATTTTTGAAGAACTGAAGGGGTCACCAGGTCACCAGGTCACCAGGTTATTTAACTTCTCTGAAAAAATGAGACAACATGACATTTTGACAACATCATGGGTTATTCGATAATGAATTATTTTTGAAGAACTGAAGGGGTCACCAGGTCACCAGGTCACCAGGTCATTTAACTTCTCTGAAAAAATGAGACAACATGACATTTTGACAACATCATGGGTTATTCGATAATGAATTATTTTTGAAGAACTGAAGGGGTCACCAGGTCACCAGGTCACCAGGTTATTTAACTTCTCTGAAAAAATGTGACAACATGACATTTTGACAACACAGCAGGATTAATGCAAAAATAAATTCAAATCATACTTTATAAAGCTTCATTTACAGGTATTTCATCGTCAGTAAATGATTCCTCATTATCGTTTGGTTCAATTTGTTTATATAATCCTTTCATTTCTTCTTTCAAAACATAATACCATGTTTGTTTACCATCTATTTTTCTTTGTTTCCTTTCACATTTATCCTTAATGCTCATTTGAAAGTTTTTGTCTTTCATGTCTGATGGTTTGCAGAATAGAGCATTTTTACACGTCATACCTGCACATAATTCATCATAATGTGTATTTATCCATTCATCTAAAGGATTTGTTGATAATTCAATTAAATCTTGTTTGGCTTCAGTCATCGGAATGATTCGTACATTAAATGATGAAAGGTCATATTGCATAAAATATGTTAAAAGGTTATCATAAAATTCCTTAGTGCATGAATCCATTAAATTCTTGAAGTAATCAAATTGACCCTTGAATTTACCATTAACTCTTAAAACTACGTATCTTCTGTCTCCAACTTCAATTTTGACAGGGTAAACGTTATTAGTTACGAAAATGAAGTTTGCAACGTTCTGAGCAGTTCTTCTGGGTTGATTCTTTTCATTAATTCTAATCTCATTATCCGTTATAATTGATTTCAAAGCGTTGAAGTTTGCGAGTCTGTCTTCACCTACATTCTTGAGTTCATTAAGTACAAGAAACATTTTATTCTCAACTACTGAGTTGAAATTACCCGTTAGCTCACCTATTTCGGTAATGTTTTTACATGAATAACCAGCGAGGAGTTCAGAAATAATGTCTGTAAATCTGTTTTTACCTGTTCCCTGAAGTCCTTTCAAAATAATTGCTGTTTCATTCTTGATTCCAGGATGTTGAATCATTGATGCAATCCAGCCGAGAAGGTATTTATACACTTCATCGTTATTATCACAAATGGCTTCTTTAATGAAATCCATAAACATCTCAATTTTTGAGTAATCAGGCTTTTCAAGAATGTTGTATTTATAACCCTGAAACGTTGAGAAAACATCAGGGGAATCAGATTTAAAGCAAACACCCTTAACGGTTAATGAGGATAATTGATTTAATAGTACATCCCATGCTGTTATTGTTTTACCTTCTTCTTTAAATAATTTAATCATTTTGAGTGACTCTTTCATGTTTGATTGAAGAACGAATGATATTTGATTCATTTTGTCGTGGATATTATAGTCCTTTTGAATGAAATATTTATTTCCACAATCTACAAAACGGATTACACGTGATAAATCCTCAATTACTTCAGAACTGTTTTTATACTGATGATTTTCAGCCTTGCGTCTAATATCTGTTATCAAAAACGAGTCATCAAGTTTTATATCAAATGTTATTTTTGGCTTACGTAATAAAGGTAAAACATATTCATCATAATATTCCTTTTGATAAAGTTTTAGAATCTTCACCAAAACAAATGGAGAAGTCATTAAATGTGCATATCTACTACGTGCTTTTTCAAAATTACTTTTTGCATTTTCTGTTAAACTGCAGAAGTTATAAACGTTATCGTATGCTTCATTAATCAAATGATTAGGTAACGAATTAATAGCTTGAAACAGTGTGAATAATGTAACTTCTTTTTCTAAATTCATGTTTCCACCATCATTATGTACTTCAAAATCACAGATGCCATCGACTATGCTCTGGGCAAGTTTATCGTCAATGTTTACATCTTTGTTTTCATTCATGATACTCTTTATTTCTTCATTCTTCTGTTCAACTCTTACCTTAATATTCAAATCATTTAATATATCATTCACTGTTCTGGTTAATGTTGAATCATAACTTCCACGAATGAATGAGTATGTATTGATTGGTTCTGATGCATTCTTGCGAACTCTTGAATCAGCCATAACCACTAAAGAACGCTTTGAATCATCCATAGAAGTCATTATATCAATATCATAATCATTGCAGGAATAACATTTAATCATTCTGTTCGAGGTTGAATAGAAGAAATTAGTGTTGCAATAAATGTGAAGACCTCCTGATGCAGTTTTAACGATAACATCTTTATCCGAAAGTTTTGATAAAATGTCTTTTCTAACTGTTTCTTTAAGTTCATCATTGTATGATTTATTGATATCAACATCTATAATCGTTAAATTTGAAATTTTATTTACTAATAAAGCTGTACCAGTTTTCCTTCCTCTTCCTCCATCATGTTTGAGGTAGTTATGTAAATCAATCTTGTTTTCACCAATTCTTTCGTTGAGGGCTTTAGTTTCTGCCACAACTAATTCCTCAACTAATGAATCAATAACTTTTTCATCAGAAACGATATAGTTGCTGTTGCTGTTGTTTGTTGCTGTCATTTATATAGGAATAAAAAAATAAAAATAATTTTAAAACTAACTTTATTTTTGGACTACATCAAATTTTCGTAAATGTTGTCAAAATGTCATGTTGTCTCATTTTTTTCAGAGAAGTTAAATGACCTGGTGACCTGGTGACCTGGTGACCCTTCAGTTCTTCAAAAATAATTAATTATTGAATAACCTGAAACCATTAACGTAAACATTAACGTAAACATATATTTCCAGGACTGTTGTCAAAATGTCATGTTGTCTCATTTTTTCAGAGAAGTTAAATGACCTGGTGACCTGGTGACCTGGTGACCCCTTCAGTTCTTCAAAAATAATTAATTATTGAATAACCTGAAACCATTAACGTAAACATTAACGTAAACATATATTTCCAGGACTGTTGTCAAAATGTCATGTTGTCTTCATTTTTTCAGAGAAGTTAAATGACCTGGTGACCTGGTGACCTGGTGACCCCTTCAGTTCTTCAAAAATAATTAATTATTGAATAACCTGAAACCATTAACGTAAACATTAACGTAAACATATATTTCCAGGACTGTTTGTCAAAATGTCATGTTGTCTCATTTTTTCAGAGAAGTTAAATGACCTGGTGACCTGGTGACCTGGTGACCCCTTCAGTTCTTCAAAAATAATTAATTATTGAATAACCTGAAACCATTAACGTAAACATTAACGTAAACATATATTTCTGCAGTTCATCCATTCTTTCATTACCTAATTAATTACAGACATAAAATATATTTAGTTCATTCAATAAATGCGGTACAATGCGAATACAGTCATAAATGGTGGCATATAATCTTCACCCAAGCCTGTTGGATTTGTTGTGAAAGTATGTGAATGATTTCCTCCTGGTTCAGTTGGTCGAAAAGTCTTTTTTGCCGAATGGTTATAATCTGGAGATAAAAACGTTATTGCCAGCATAATATTCTGAGTTGTATAATGGATGGTCTCTTAATGAGTGACTATGGTCACCAGAAAAGTTTGTCGTTCCTGTATGAGTGTGCGGTGGAAGGTTTGCTTCAGTAATTTTCTTCGAACCTCCTGTTTCCTTTGAAGAGTTTGCACAATACAAAAACCTGTCAACTATTTGTTCCCATGCACCAACACCAAACATTACTTGAGGACCTCTTGCATCCATAGATGTATAAATAGAACCCACTGGGTTCATTAAATCAAACATATGAGATATTATAGGATTGTCTCTTTTGAACTTAAGATATAGTGTAACTATTTCAGGTTTCTTCTGGTTTGTGTCAGAATATTTTTTATAATATAATCTTATGTTTTCAGGGTAGGTAAAATCTTGACTATAATATATTATTTCTGTCATCTGTATATAATATACTATTCTCGTTTTTTCTATTGCATTATATCTTTTATCTATAATAATCTAAATATAATGTTAACTTTTGTTCATCTATATGTGGTGTTCTGACATCATCTCCATAGTCATAATAATATGGTGCTGGAGCTGGGTCAGGCAATGTCATATCTGCCATTTCATAAACTCTTAAATATTTCTTTTGTTCGTCTCCATATAAGTTTAAGTAACAGTTGTTGTCTAATGGAACTTTAACTTGTGTGTCATCATTCTTTTTATAACTTACATACATTTCATTGTTATTTTTCGGAATGAGTTTCCACCGTATACCATTTTTTAAGGAGTGTACAAACTGCCATCTAAAATATTTATTTTCTTCATTGACAGAAAAGTCACCAACAATAGTTTCAATATTTTTTGTTCCTATCAAACTTTGGTATATTTCGTTAACATATGTTTTATCTGCCTTCTTCATTAACTCATCGTTAACATATTCCTTATCTACCTTCTTCTCTAACTCATCGTTAACATATGTTTTATCCGCTTTAAGGTCTAAACATCCTGAAACCCATCCTGTATCAGCTTTAGTTTTTAAAATCTTTGATGTCCATTCATGATACCATTCAACCATTTCTTTAATTTCATTATCTTTTTCATCCACATATTCCTTATCTGTCTTCTTATTTAACTCACTATCCACATATTCCTTATCTGCTTTCTTATTTAACTCACTATCCACATATTCCTTATCTGCCTTCTTATTTAACTCACTATCCACATATTCCTTATCTGCTTTCTTATTTAACTCACTATCCACATATTCCTTATCTGCCTTCTTATTTAACTCACTATCCACATATTCCTTATCTGCCTTCTTATTTAACTCACTATCCACATATTCCTTATCTGTCTTCTTATTTAACTCACTATCCACATATTCCTTATCTGCTTTCTTATTTAACTCACTATCCACATATTCCTTATCTGCTTTCTTATTTAACTCACTATCCACATATTCCTTATCTGCTTTCTTATTTAACTCACTATCCACATATTCCTTATCTGCTTTCTTATTTAACTCACTATCCACATATTCCTTATCTGCTTTCTTATTTAACTCACTATCCACATATTCCTTATCTGCTTTCTTATTTAACTCACTATCCACATATTCCTTATCTGTCTTCTTATTTAACTCACTATCCACATATTCCTTATCTGCTTTCTTATTTAACTCACTATCCACATATTCCTTATCTGCTTTCTTCATTATGTCATTTAGGAAACCTTTTATGAATTCCTCATTTAAATTAAATCTTCCAATCTTCAAAACTTTAGGAAATGCATTTAATGCGTAATATCTTTGTTCTTCTGGTGGAATTGATGTTATATCATCCGTTATACCTTTAATTTTTGAATTCATAAATAAAATTTCTTTTATATTTGATATCACTGCACCACCCTTGCAAACGAATTCGAAATGGTCATTTTTCAATACTATCTCCAAATCTCCATATTTCAACCTTTGCGTTTGTTCTGCCGTCTTTGAATTATATGCATATATGGCGTATGTAATGGTTTGAAGGACCTGGGTGCTTTGTGTCTTAAGTTGCTGTGGTTGCTGTTGTTTAATCATTTATTATGATTAAAAAATAAATATTTAATCTGTTATCTCATCACCTATTTTTTCTATTTGAAATTGCCATAATATTTCATTCATGAATTCTAAATCACAATCAAATAGGTCGGTTATTCTAAATTTAATATTTGATAAATCTTTTGAATGAAGAATAAATGAATTCCCGGATAATTGAAACGGATATGATAAAGAAATATGTTTAAGTTGATGGATAAAATGTTTTGTATTGATGGGTAAGAGTTAGGGTCTAATGTTGATGTGAAAATCTCATTGGGGTATTAACTTTATCACATTTGATTAAAATGAAATTGGAACCAGTGTCAGAATACAAAACATCCCCAACATCTTTTTCAAAATTTAATATCCCCAACAATGAACGAAGATGAGGAGTACAAAATTTAATTTTCAGCGGAAATTTAATAAGGTTATTTATTTCATCAAGTTCAAAAAGTTTATCGGGTTTTGATTTAAAATTTTCTTCATACCATACGATAAATGATTCATTTAAATAACTTAAAATCATGTTAATATCCCATTTCGTTATCACATTATTATATATACATATCATACGTTTTTTCATGGTCATCTTTAATAAATGATATATAATCTGAAGGGTCTAAAAGAATGGGATTAAATTTACCACTCACAGAAACGAGAGTAACATTATAAATTCCGCTAACTGTTAAATTTAATTCACAGCTATTATTCGAAATAATATTGATAATTGACATTTTTATTACGATTAAAAATATGGTAAAGCGTTATTTTCCAGTGATAAATAAAACTAGAATAAGATTACCTCAAGAATTCATAAATTCAACGAATAAGAAATTCATTCATGTTATAAATTTTAGTGTTTTCAGAAAATATGAGTCAATGTCATATTCATCATCGGGTTATATTTCACTTCATTCAAATTTAGTTCAATCAAACCCATATAATGACCATTTCATAAGATTTTCAGATGGTATTAAAAATGTAATTGATAGATTAAAATATGAACAGATTGACAATATCGAATTTTTGGAATTTTGGTTTAAATATCCCGATGGAAAAAAGATTGAAGTTAAAGATAAAGCTGATACTATAACAAAAACAATTACAATGACCGATCCGGATAGTGGGGAACAAAAAGAAATAAAACAAACGATAGAAACTGGTGAAAGGTCAATTATTATTGATTATGATTCAAAGGATTATTATTCAATAATGTTAATGCTTGAATATTAAATAGCCTTAACAAAGAATTTTTCAAGTGATATTTTATATTCATCAACTATTTTATTATAAATATCATTATATGTTAAATGAAGTTCAGTTGTTGTTTCCGTTCTTTGATATCTTAATTGTGCTAATATCCTTTATAGGATTTATTTTTGCAACTGTTCCGCAGCATGAAACCTCATCATCTATGAAAAATTGAATCTTAACGTCTGAATCTTGAACATCACAAAGAATGGCGATAATGTGAATTAATGATTCATAAGGTAAAATAATTAAACCGGATTGGTCAATTAAATTTATTATTGAATCATAATTATTAATTATTATATCACGGTAAATTTTCATTAATTCAGAATTAATGTCTACTTTATATGGCGCATTGCGACTGGAATCGTAGATTCCTGGGTTCTCGATGTTTGATGAAAGAGGTGGGGTATGTTGGATAAGTGGGAATTTCAACAGGTTCTTTACCGGTTCAGATAAAATGATTGGGTCTCCATCTTCTTTATTTTGCTCCTCCTCCTTTTTCGGTAAGTCACGAGTTAATAAATTTGGTTGAGTTGCTGACCTTGTTAATTCAGGGCTAACATTAACTTTAACCATTTTGAATAATTCCGTGATTTAACATCATTTACGTTATAACCAACCGTAATCTCTGCTTTTGCGTTTGTGTTCTTTTGACCTTGTGAAACGTCTTCTCATTTATAATTGAATAAAAAAAAGAAAATATATTTAAAGTTTTATTTAGTTGTTACGGTAATATCCCAAGGTTCATCATTGTTTGCTTATACTTTCTTTGTAACTACACCAATTATGTTATTGATATTGCTTTGAGTTTCTTCCAGTCTTATTTTATCATTTACAATATCTTTAATCATTTCATTACATGCATTCTTAAAACCATCTGATTTTTCTAATTTACGTCTATCACTTTCTTTAATTAAATCAAAGTTATAACCTTGTTGAGAATAAAGTGGTTTCTTTATCAATTCCTTGAACGCTTCTGAAAGTGAAGATGAAGAAATTCTTGCCACTTGAATTGGTTTAAATTCTGCTTTCATTGCTTCTTTCTGTTCATTGAACACTGGATCGAATAAAGCAACTTTAAAGAATTTCTTAGCTGGAATTTCAGGTCTCAAATATGCATATTGACCATCAAACTGATTAACATATCGTGGTAATCCATCCGGTCCCTCTTCAACAGCATTTAATTCTTCATTGAAATAAGAATATGGAATAAGATGGTATGAATACATTGGACCATTTTCACCTTCTCCAATGTATTGTTTAACAGCTTTTCCATTTTCATCAAATTGCATAGGATAACATTCATTATATGCTTTACGTTTAGGATAATCCGTCATTGTTAATTTATACCCATTTATGACTTTAATATTTCCTTGACCATCAGTAACGAAAACTTCATTTATACCATCAGGCTTTCCATTTGGTCCTGTAATGTCTGCTTCATGTGCTTCCCAATTTGGTCCATGACGTTTGGCATATGCTTGAGCTTCTGGTAATGTTAAAACGTTTCTCATTTGTTTAACATCCTTTTGAAGACCGGCAACAATGTGGACTAATTCTTTCATTCCGTCTGGAACTTTCATAGTTCTATTATATCCACCCTTTTTGTTTGTCCCTTGTTTTAATGGAACCTGTAGAAGATTTGCTATTTCTGTCATGTTTAATTATAAATAAAAAATAAAAATTAATTATAAAAAGTTAATCAAATTTAACACCTCCTTTATTTAAATCAACTATTATTTTTCCATGTTCGCCTAATTGTTGATATTGTGTGTAAAGTTCATTAATGCTCATTGGTAAATTCACTTGATAAAGCATAACGTTCAACTGTTGACGACTAAACCCACTGAAAATGAAAAGTGTTGATAGATTTGATTTAATGTTTGTGCTTAATGCTTTGAAGTATTGAACAGCCATAAAGAATGAACACTGAATGTGTCGACATTGAGTTAATAACTGATTAAAATATGATTTCTCATTTGTTATTAGTTTTGATTTCACTGCATCATCTAGAAAAATGAGTGAATGCAAAAATTCTCTATCAAAATTTGAAATAGAAAGTGTTTCAAATAATTCATCCCGTTGTTTATCAATAATTTTATCCTCTAATCCTTGCTTCTTGATTGGATTATATAATTCTTTATACATTAAAAAGTTTTTTAAATAATCTTCTGCTTCTTCTTGTGATAAATAAATAATTGGAATTTTGATTAAATGCTTTAAAGATTCAAATGTATCATCTGAAGGTGAACCTGAACGGTTGATATAAATTAACACATGTGAATAGGGGGAAGTGTTAGCAATAATGATAATTTGTTTTAATATCGTTAATGTTTTACCTTTATTTTGTTTACCAATTGCTGCAGTGATTGAATTTAAGTAACATTCAGAATATGGAATTTTCATTAATTTTTCCTTAGATAGAGCATTTCTATTATCACTCAATGCTTCATTAATCATATCATCTACGTATGTATTATATACTCCCGCTAATTCTTCATAAGGGGTGGATGAATTTAAATTCATTTAATCAAAAATAAATTTATAATTTTAAACATTTCTATTCATCAATATTTCATCATATGAACTTCTATACTGTGGTGGTGTACCTGTTGGATGATATTTCAAACCTTCGTCCGGTGTCCATGTCCAATACGTAGTCCTAGTAAACCAAACCTGAGGAGGATTTGTCACTTTTGAACAGTAAGTGTCATTTTCACCCTGAATGATTGGATAAGCTTTCACTTGTACTGTAACTTGTGAGTTGAAAGTTTCTAATCCATCAAAGAATATACCCGCTCCATCACGTTGAACTGGAATAGTGCATAAGAATGAAGTTTGGTCTTTCCATGTTCTAGCTAATGGCGTGCCATTATCATCATTCAGTGGTCTAGTTAATGAGTCCTCGTATTCTTCTGTGCATTCATTCACTCCATCTAAATCAGAAGCTTGAAGCATACGTGTAAAGAATATGTCACCCACTGTGGTCATCGCTTGATCGGGGAAGTTTCTGGAATCTATAGTGACCTGAAGACCTCGAAGCATTGGATTTTCTAAAACTGTTCTTTGCATTGCATTCTTTGGAAATGTTAACACAACATCTGTAACATTATGAAGAGCGTATGAGAAATCTGAGCTAATACCTTCAGGAGTGATGCAACCTCCATTTAGTGAACGAACGTCAATATGTTGAGCTGGAATCATGAATGGATCTTCCTTACTGAATAAACGTGGTATTGCTTTAACTGATTCTTCAATTAAACCGTATCCTGGTGTAATGCATTTATCCTCTAAAACTTCCATCTTTGTGCATGATAATAATAACGTCATCAACTGTTGCGTCAGCAGATGTAGCGGCTAAGCTTGTAATTAATTTGGCAGGAAGTCCGATTTGTTGGAATTTGCGATCATATTTATAAACATGATTCATAATCTTTTCATAATTTTCATCAGTTATCTTTTCATAAACGTAATTTTGTAAATCAGCAACTCTTAACGGGTCAACCTGACAAAATACTAAAGTATCCCTGAAAACATAATATTTAAGAATGATTTCACCAAATGATTTAGGATAATCATCGAACGCCTGAAATGCTAACAAATCATTTACCGGAATAATCATATCAAAAGTGACATCAACTTCTTCATTTGCTTTCTTGAAAACTTCTGAAGGGTCAATATATTTACCACATACTGAGTTATCATATTTTTGAACATTATTATATAACGAATGAACAAACTTTTTAACTTTCCTTTCTGATTTTGGTTTATATGTTGCAAATGCGAAAGATTCACGGGCGCAATCCATCTGAAGATAACCGGCATCACCTCTTTCGGTTTCTACTTCTAATTGTTTAAAGCTTTGATTTGATGATTTGTAACCAACGAATAAACGCATGCATTTAAAAGCGGCATCACATGTGAAAGCTTTATTTGAAACTAGAGTTGCTTTAACTTTGCGTTTAATATATGTGTCACCTAATTGGTTCACATCATGAGCCGGATTTGTAATTCTTAAATGAGTTTGTTTATCATCAAAATATGGAGTATCAGAGTCATAGCATGAACTTTCAAGTTCTCTATAATATCTTCTACCGTCATTCTTTGCGAATATTTCATTTATCTTTTCGAATGAATGAAACACATTTCCATTAATCGGTTTAGTGTTTGGCACCAAATAGTTAGTCGTCATTTATTAATAAATAAAAAATCAAAATTAAAAGATGAAAATGAATTTTTAATTTTAATGAAATAATCAACTATGGCTGCAGGATTCTTTAAGAAACTGTGGGATAAAGTAAAAAGAGGAGCGCATAAAGTTTGGGAAACAATGAAGAAAGGAGCAAATTGGATATTTAAGAATAAAGAAGCAATTAGTGACGTTGCTGAATCAATAACACCAAAAGCTGCCCCAATAAGAGAAATATTAAATAAAGGAGAAAAAGTTTATCAAAGACTTCAACCGATACTAAGATAAAAATAATATTTATTTATTTTTCCACTATTTACCTCCTATTTTATTAAGTATTCCTTCAGCAATTCCACCAATTGCGTTACCTGCTTGTGCTCCCATCGCTGGATTACCTGCTTTAGTACCTAATACTCCACCTATGATAGTTCCTGCCGTTTTCGCTACTGGTGCCAAAAAGTTTGCAACGGGTTTAATAATATTTTTATGAACCCAACCTGCAGCTTTCTTAATTCCATCCCATAATTTTTTAAAGAATCCTGCCGCCATTTCTGATTTAATATTAATTAAAAATATATTTCATCACTTATATTCTAATTTTTATTTAATGATAAATGAAACCGATTTTAAAAATAAATGAAACAGAGGAGGAAGAAATAAATGAAAGTGAAAATGTTCAACAAAAAATAAACGTTGTTAAACCAATTACTGAAATAAAAATTTTTTCATCTGTTGAAGAATTTAATGACTATTATGCTAACAATAAAAAATTATTTGAAGAATTGACAACGTGTAAATTGAATAAAATGTTTAAAGTTGATGGATTCAAAATTTCAAAAATAAAGGGGGTGGTTAGTTTGAAATCTATTCCTCAATCAAGAATCACCTCATTAATGAAAATAGATGATTTAACAAAAAGAATAGAAGAGATTGAAGAAAGAATGAATCAAATAATTGATTTCATAAATTCAAATAATCATTAATTTCTTAAAGTTCAATGTTGAACTCATCAAATTCTTTTTAAAGTTTATTTTTTAAAAAAATTATTTTTTATTTCGTTATGTATGGGCTGAGTGTAAATGTCTTACAATTTTGAAAATTTTTTAAATCTTGATTTATTCAAAAACGTAAGAATAAAAACCGTAAGAATCATACATTTTTTACTTCATATGTTAAAAAAAATGATACAAAATCGTTCAATATCGTATGAATTCTTACGTTTACAAAAAAAGTCACACAACCCGTCAACATATACTACTATGTTATTTTTTCCCCTGAATTAAAATAATTCATGAAACGTACTTGGATTTACCTAATCCTTGCTCTTTTTCATATTCTTAATCTTCTGTTCGAAATCGGATAAAATTTCTGACTGGAGTTCAACTCCATTTAGATCTTTTATGCCTTTTATTGCTTCCTGAAGGTCTTCCTCTGATTTAAATTCAACTATAACATTTCCATTAAATAATTTTTCTCCATTTTCAGTAAATTTTGATTGCGGAACTATCCAAACAGGGTCGTATTTAGAAAGAACGGCATCTAAATCATTCGAAGTATAATCTAAAGGAAATCCTGTAATTCGGAGAGATCTTTCGTTTCTAAAGTAGTCTTTCTTAAACTCTTCTATGCGACTGATTGTTTTTGCGCCAAAATCGACTTTTAAGTGTTTAGATTTTGAACACACGTACAAAACATTATCTGCTGAAATTTCGAGTTTTTTCATTTGATTAAAAGTCATAAAAACATCAACAGGAATCTTATTAGAAGTTTCCTGATACTTCCTCAACATAAATTTATCGCGTTCTAGATTGAAATTGTTGAAATAATATTCCATTTGATCCTTTGCACGCTGCATCACAGGTGATAATTCATCAGCTGGATCTTTGGGATGACTTTGCTTCTCAAGTGCAATCATTGAACCAAGGCGTGGTAAGTATGACGATGTTTCTTCCATTCCTCACAAAAAAAATCTTATGTCACTTTTTAGGAATGTTGAATATCCTCAGAAATGACGATCTCGATGGAATTACTGCTTTCATTGCGAGCGGATATACTGAGGAAAACTTTTGGAACGATATAGATGATGATGCACCAAAAATGTTGCAACATCATCCTTCATTTATTAGTGCTGCCGCATATTTTGGAGCTGTGAAGTGTACAGTATTCTTAATTCAAAACGGAAATAACTTATTTGTACCAGACTTAATTCTTTTTATATTCATAAAGGCATTTTTTATTAGTTTATCGACTTCCCTCTCATTTTGCAGCAGCTTCTGGAAGTTCCGCAGTTCTACCATACTTAAATGATCATTGTTGCGATTTTAATGCTACTGATAGTGAGAATTCCACTCCATTGCATTTTGCCGCCCAAAATCCGAATATTGATATCTTGAAATTTCTCGTATCATATGGATGTGACCCAAATCATGCAAACTTTTGGGGATATATACCTCTCCATAATGCAGCAATGAGTGATTCCGTAGAAATTGTCGAATATTTATTATCATGTGGCTCAAATCCGAACAAACGCGATGATAGCGGGCGTACACCTATACACATAGCATGCCGTGCAGGTAATGCTCCTATTGTAAAGTGTCTGCTTGATCATGGTGCGAGTCCAGATATTAAAACTGTTTCGCAAGATACATGTCTTCATTTTGCAGCTCAGACTGGGCATGCAGAAGTTGCAAGATTATTTGTTAACAACAAAAACTTACTCTCTGCTCGAAATTCGACTTTACAATCTCCATTACACATTTCTGCGCAATCAGGCTCATTAGATTTCTTCAAAGTTCTTGTTGAATCAGGTGCAGACATCGAATGCGAGGACCAAAATAAATGGCATCCACTACATTCAGCAGTTTACTATAATTCTTACTTAATTACTCGATACCTGATCGAATCAGGTGCAGATATCAATGTACAGACCATATCCGGTGCAACGCCATTACATTTCGCAATACAATTCTCTAATATCTCCATGGTCCAATTATTATTGAACAATGGAGCCTCAGCTGTCATCCAGGACAAAGACGGACACTCTGCTCTTCACGTTGCCGTCAAAAGGAACGACCCTAACATCGTAAAACTTCTTATTGGCTACGGTGCGAAAACAAGTTCTGTTGACAACAAACAGAAAACTCCATTACACATGGCCTGTGCGAAAGGAAGTTTAGATGTCATCCAATCTCTTGTTGAACAAGGCGCCAAGTTCGATGCGCAAGATTCAATGGGTAGAACACCAGTTCATTACGCAGCAGACGCGAATCGTGTCGATGTCTTGAATTTCTTGTCAGAGAAAGGCGTGAACATGGATATTACTGACAACTACGGAAAGACACCATTGGCAATCGCGCAGGAAGAACACAGTAATGATGCAGTGAAGACACTTACAAGAACTCCAAGTATGAAGTCTGCATCTCCTAGAACAATGAAACTTAGTCCTCACACTAAACAGTATCGGAATAGTTATAGACTATGAAAAATAATTGTTTTTATTTTAAATTGTATTGTTTTAAATAGTTCATTATTATTATTATTTAATATAACTCCAAGTATGAAGTCTGCATCTCCTAGAACAATGAAACTTAGTCCTCACACTAAACAGTATCGGAATAGTTATAGACTATGAAAAATAATTGTTTTTATTTTAAATTGTATTGTTTTAAATAGTTCATTATTATTATTATTTAATATAACTCCAAGTATGAAGTCTGCATCTCCTAGAACAATGAAACTTAGTCCTCACACTAAGCAGTATCGGAATAGTTATAGACTATGAAAAATAATTGTTTTTATTTTAAATTGTATTGTTTTAAATAGTTCATTATTATTATTATTTAATATAACTCCAAGTATGAAGTCTGCATCTCCTAGAACAATGAAACTTAGTCCTCACACTAAGCAGTATCGGAATAGTTATAGACTATGAAAAATAATTGTTTTTATTTTAAATTGTATTGTTTTAAATAGTTCATTATTTAATTTCAAAATTTCAAAATCTTGGGTCCATTTTCTCAGAAAAAAAATGTGATCAAAGTGTTCAATCTTGGATTACCAATCATTTCAAATTGTTTTGGGCATTACAAATTCATTAAATAATGAAGCCCTAAAATTATGGTCTTACTCAGCCTTTACCCTATGTGGTGATAGTTTGAAGAGAGCTGGGTAAATGGTTAATAAAGCATCTTATAATAAACTCGCAAATGTTTCTCAAAATGAGAACATTTGTTTGTTTGTTTGCACGAGAAAATTATGAAAAGGTGTTTTGCTGTGACCTCAAACAACTTTTAAAATACATATGCAGACATAACGATTTTGTTTGTTACGGCTCTATTTATAGATACATGATCAAAAGAAATGGTTTAGCTTTTTCCTTTATTATCGAAGATTTTGTTCTTTTTATTTTATTTTTACAAAGTTAAAATGTTCGCCAAAAATTCATTGCAGAGTGTGATTTACAGTATTTTTTTTCCAGTATCCAAATGCTGCTGTTTTAGTTTTCTTGTATGTTTTATACAAAGAAAGAAAAAATTAGAAGAAAGATGATTAACAATGTTATCAATATAGAATATATGTTTATTTTATTATTAATATTTTACGTCAAATTCAATTTTGTGAATCCGAAAAAAAAATACTAGAATGTCTCGAAGACTTCAAAAGAAAGCTATATTCAAAATTAATGCTAAAACAGCAATAGATATGATGTGGAATAAATCATAAATCGGGTGGATTTGATAATTTATCCCTAACAGATTGCAACATACTTTTCAAGCTTTATCTGAAGGTGAGCAATTTTTGATATTTGCACCATGTTGAACAAGTGTGAGGATTACTTCTTCTTCTCCTGTGGCATAATCCAGAACAGATCTTCCATTATTGTCGACTGCATTGACATCGGCTCCATGAGAAATCAAATATTCAACTATGCTTAAACAACCATTATGAGCTGCAAAATGAAGTGCAGTTGCTCCACTACTATTTCTTAAATTAATATTAAATCCATATGAAAGCAAAACCTCTACGGTTCGTTTAAAATTAAACGCTGCTGCCACATGTAAAGGGCGAAAACCATCTGAAAGTTCTTTTGTAAAATCTACACCATGTAAAATTAAAAGATCTACTACATCAGATGCGTTCTCTAACACTGCTGTTTTAAAAGGGGTAAGTTTGATATCATTTTTAGCATCGATTTTAGCACCGTGGGAAATTAGAAATTCGGCAGTTTCTCTAGAACAATTTTCTGCAGCACAATGAAGTGGAGTATTTGATTCATAATCTTTAATATCGATATTAACGCCATGGGAAATAAAAAAATCTGTAAAAGCAACTTGATTATACATCGCTGCAATATGAAGTGGAGTAAATTTACATTCCGAACGTGACATAATGTCTGCACCATGAACCACGAGATACTCAGCTGAATTTATACTATTATATCTTGCAGCAAAATGAAGACATGAAGTATTAGGATAATTTTTGGGTGGAAAAAAAGTCCAAAATGATGATTATTTTTAATTGAATTTTGGACTTTTTTTCCAAAAAATAAATTCCGATCATGACGATTATTTTTTTAGTGTTTATTTCTTATATCTCATTATGCGATGATTGTTTAATAAAATTAATATTATATATGTTTTATATAGGATATCAAATAATTGTCATTTTAAAATCAAGTGAATTCGTTGTTGTTTTTATCTAATTTTAATTAAATTATCGAATAAATTGAATATTTAGATGCTGAAAGTGTTTTTTATACCTCATTTATGTACCTGGAATGTAACCATGGTATGGAAACGAAGAAATATTGATATATCCAAAATGAAGCATATTGAAATTTCATACATAACAAGTAATCTAGTGTTTTGACATATTTATATGCTTGAGTTATTATTATATATTATTGATCACATGTTAAAATTAATAAATGACGATAGTATTATATCGATATTGTGAAATCATACAAAAATATGCGATTATTCAGTTTTGAATAGGTATTTAAAATGTAATATTATGGTATATTGTAACTAAAGTAAATTTAATCTAGAAATCTTTAATTTAATATATAATAAGAAAATTGAAAGGAACTAAATCAATTTGAAAGAGAATTTGGTATCCCTATATATTGTAATATTTTGATTTTCAAATAATGTTCAAAAATATGATACTTTTAAAGAAATTTCAAATAATGAGATAAATTTCAATATTTTTCAAAGGGAGTTTGGTTGGAAAATAAAATTGAATATAAATGCGCAGATAATGCAGTGCAAGGGGAAATTTTATGACAATTTTATCTGGAAAAAAAATTCATCAAAATTGATATTGAGAATACAAATAAAACTTGATTAAAATGAAATATAGTGATAAATTTTCAATGTGATTATTCAAATTTTGATAAATCTAAAAAAATTGCCAAATTATCAAATTAATGGGGATATACGTACATTATCATAATTGAATTTAAATAAAATTTAATTGAGAGAAGTTCAATTTTTGGAAGAATGAGTTACTTCTATTTCAATCAGCTTAAACTTGAAATCATATTCTTCGCGCCTGTCTAACATAATTCGAGCAAATTGAAAGGTTTACACGCAGTTTTGAAATAGAATTAAGTTATACATATTCAATTATCTGAAAAGTCCTTAAAATATAATCTATTATTATTTTAAGCTCAAAATTAAAATCTTTTATCTGTTTTGTCAAAAATTGAATTATTAATTTCAACGAATAATTCAATTACTGAATTGACGATGATGTTTTGAAATATATATGGAACTTTGAAATTAAATAAATAAAAAATTGTTTGTCAGCATTCAAATTTTCATAACTTTTAACGTTCATAAAAATTAGAATTTGCAAACGATTAAAGAAATTATTTGCAATTTGGACGGAGCTTGCATACAGCCAAATTGCAAATAATTTTTTAAATTCTAAAACTTGTCAAAATATTAAATAAACAAAAAATAGTCTAAAAATATTATGAGAAGATATTTAACATTAGTTCGATTTTTTTGGTTTTTTTGTTGATTTGAAAATATTTATTGAAATTAAAATGATATTTGTGATCGTGGATACATATATAATTATTTCAAGTTAGTAAAAATTCATTTCGACTTAATTTAGATAATTTAATATTCATCTTAATGATTTTTGTTTTTTAATAATGTCAATATTAAAATTCTAAAAATTTAATAATGAATCATAGATTTCAAATTTAATAGAAAGTTGTTTTAACCTTTAAAAAGCTCATTTATTTACAAAAATTCACAAAAAAACGGCAAATTATTCCAAGGATATTCAAAAATTGTGAAAATTAACTTCATTTTTCTCAAATCAAAAAAATTTGGATTTTTTTATAATATTTTTTCTCATTATTTTTTAATATTTTCTATTTTAAAGATTATTATACGTTTAAAATTCTTAAAATACGTTAATTTTAATATGCTCGGCGTTTGCCGAGCTTACGTACTTTAAAACTTACCTCAAGCTCATTCCCTCTAGCCTTTCACTGGCTAGGGAAGACAACACAATTGTTTATGATGAAGCTACCTAGAGAATTATCATTTTATGATAATTCTCTAGGTAGCTTCATCATAAACAAAATCAATTTACTATCCCTCGATCTCTACCTCATATACATTAGAGCAAAGTTCTTCTAATCTCTCTAATCGTGAAGAAGATATTAGAAGAACTTTGCTCTAATCGATCAGCTTACGCATGCATGGCTCGAGCTTAGCCAGGTATGTTGCCACGTTACATTATTACAAGGTTCTTACTTAAGCATTATCATTTTGTAAGAACCCTGTGATAATGTAACACAAAAGCCCGAGAACAACATCTGTATTAACCTGTGCTGAAGTTTTCTGGATTTCCTCTCTCATTTGAGAGACTTCCAGATAACTTCAGCATAAACGATTTACAGACATATTCTCTCGCTCATTGTGGGCCACATACCACAACTACATTACACTAAGACAGAGTTCTTCCGAGGTCTCTCATCAAATGAGAGACTTCGGAAAAACTCTGCTCTATTCGATTAATTACAGAATCCTAGACCTTTTGGGAACAAGGAAAGAGTAGTAAGAGTGCTTTCCGGCAATGCTCATTACGAAGTCTCTCATCGAATGAGAGATTTCGTAATGAACATTGCCTGTTTCGAGTAAATTTACATCCCTGCCCCTCGGATGTTCAGGGAGTAGTACTATAGTCCATGAGGGCAATAACGTATAACTAATATCGCCAGAAGCACAATAGTTATACAGCCTAGCTACTATATCCTAACAGCTAGGCTGCATAGGTATTGTGCTTCTGGATTGCAGAAACCTCATGGAAGACCTATTGGAGATCTCCCGTCGAAATCACTCGCTGATGTGGATGGGGGCAGCACTATGATTGGCCATATCAAAGGCTACATAGCATCCCAGCAAGTGGATAGTCGGCGGTGACTCCAACTGTGGTCCACCATGAGATTATGGCACTTTTGCATTTTGGCGGGCAAAATTTTTTTTTTGATCTGATATTGTAAACAGTTTACAAGTATCAGATTTTGGAATTTTATCCCTCATTGAAAATAAAATTTTTCTCTCAATTTTAATGATTTAACAATATCAAAAATATATATTATTGAAATGCATAAATTATAATTTCATTAATGTATGCATATATATTTTATTTGAAAGCCCCATTCAAATTTATCTCCAAAAAAATAAGAAATTGCTTTTCATGTAATATTAATATTAAATAATAAAGCCAAAAAGAAACTATATTTAATATATATATTAAAATCTAACAAGCATTGATTTTAAAATCATATTTAAAATCTAACTGATTAATTAGCTTTTACATAATTTATATTTCATTATTGACTTGTTTTAGATAAATATATTAATATCAGATCAGTTATATTTTAATTTAAGCATTATTGAAGAATTTGAAATTATGCATTATCTACTTGTAATGCTACAGGCAAAAATGAATCATATATTCATAATATCATACACAATCTCTATAGGATACTACAATATAACAGTCTTTTATCCTAAATTCATGAAAATTAATTTCCAATTTCCATAAAAATAAATAATAATTCATTTTTATATTTAAAACATGCACACACATATATAGTATAATATAGTTGTATCATTCATTTCTGTATAAAGCTCATTTTCAAAAAAAATTAATTGTCATTTTCGAAAAAAAAATTGGAAAAAAAGTCCAAAATTCAATTAAAAATAATCGTTATTTTGGACTTTTTTTCCACCCAAAAATTATCCGAAGTATTATTTGGAAATATACTTTTGATTTTTGCTTTTATTTTTGCACCATGACAAAGGAAATATTGGCAAAGTGATGGAATATTAAAAGTTGTTGAATAAGCGAAGCATTCATTGAGAGAGTTAGTTTGATCAAAATATGCAAAAAAAGCTTGAAGGTTGTGATATTTGCAGAATAACTCTAAATCAAAATTCAATTTGTGTTCATTCTTCAAAAAAGTAATAAAATCAATATTGTGTGAAGCTACTGCAAATTCTTTAATTTGATACACACGATTGCAATCTTGATGTTTCAAACATTCATTCATAATAAATGCATTTCCTCCCAAAAATGAAAATGCAAGACATTTTCTTGTGATTTTGGAGTTGAATTTTGTTAAAAATAATTTAAAACACTTTTCAGAGCCAAAATAACTACATAATTCTAGAAACGAAATTTCAATAGGACATCCAGGAAACAAATTCATTTCGAGCATTTGATGTGGATTAAATCCATCTCTTTCTGTGAATGTCAGCAATGACTCTGTGTTGTCGTTTATAATAGCTCTGTAAATAGTGTTTTCTTCCATAAATTCGAATGAATAATTGGGTAGGCATCTTAGTTCAATTTCGTGGCGATATCTATCAGATAATGTATTTCCATGTTCATCAATGAGATCAGACCATAAAAAAGTGGAATACTTTTATCAAAATGTGTTGGGTGATATTCATCATAAATCTTTTTGAAAAGAAATTTGTATTGCTTATAATACTTTAGATTAAATTCGAGTGCATATGAGATAGCTAATAGAATTTGCTCGGGCGATCCATTCTTTTTTTCAATAATTTTTGTTTTGATTTCTTGGAAAAAATTTTCAACTTCATTCTCATCAAATGTATTCAGTCTATATAGTCTATTATATACAGATACTTCATTGTGAAATAAATTCATTAGTTCAGAATAAATCTTCTGAGACATTTGGTTTTATCAGACCAAACTTTTTGTATCGTTTTATATCTGTTCAAAAGACATAATCACATCATTATTTTATCGTCCTCCCTCCCCTCAAAAAAAATATTTTGAATATTATTTATATCTCAATTCGCATATATTCCCGATTTTGAGATGGCTCTCATTATATCTCACTATATAAAATGCTTAAGAAGTAATAATATACCTCCATAATTTTTTGTGTAAATAATGAATATATTTACAGTAAATGTATCTCCTTGAAAAAAAGGAGATTTAGAGCTAAGATTTACCTTTGTTTAATACTATATATATATATTTAGACTGTAATGTAGAAAAGAAAATATTAAAGATTAGCTCCCAATATGAAAAGTGCGTAATAATGGTTCAATATAAAATTTCATACTAAATATATTATTGGCAATACGTTTATTGATAAACATAAATTATTGCAAAATGATTTATATTCTTCTTAATCTATGAGCAGTCATTTGTTGAGACGATGATATAATTGCAGTTTTTGATCTAGGAAGTAACTTTTGACATTCAAGGCATACAACTTATTAATATTATAGTGAGCATCTATATAATCTTCATTAAAAAGTTCATTTTAAAAAATATTTAATAGTTTAAAAGTTGAAGGATTTTTTTTTAATTTTCATTGGAAAATCGATAAAAATTCTGAGATCTTTCAATACAAATCAAAATACCACAAATGAAGCTTTACTGCTCAACTCCGATTAAATTAAGATATCTAACAATTTCATATTTGTTAAGATGCAATGCCATTTTGAGTGGGGTATATCCATCTTTAGTTTTTGCATATTTATTAGCACCAACTGCGGCCAGATGTTTAACGACTTCAAGACGACCTTGAATTATTGCCCAAATGAGTGGAGTATATCCATCATTATCCTTTGCTTCTTTATTAGCTCTATGATATTCCATATATTTAACAATTTCAAGGTGGCCATTTGCTGATGCAATCATGAGTGCTGTTAATCCTTTATTAGTCCTTACTTCTTTATTATATGCATATGTGAAAAGATATTTAACAGTATCAAAATTACCTCCAGCTGATGCGATAAGGAGTGGAGTGTATCCCTCTTTATTCTTTGCTTCCTTATTAGCGCCAGTAAAGGCAAGATATTTAACTACATCAAAATAGCCTTTTGATGATGCCCAAATAAGTGGGGTATTTCCATCATTTGTCGTGGCTTCCATATTGGCTCCAGCTGATTCAAGATATTTAACTATTTCATAAAGACCTTTAAATGACGCATATAAGAGTGGAGTAAATCCATCATTAGTTTTTGCTTCTTTATCAGCACCAACTGAGACAAGATATTTAACGACTTCAAGACGATTTTGAACTGATGCCCAAATGAGTGGAGTAAACCCATCTTTAGTTTTTGCTTCTTTATTAGCTCCAAATGAAATAAGATATTGAACAACTCCAAGATGGCCATTATATGATGCCCAAATGAGTGGGGTATATCCAATATTAGTCATTGCTTCTTTATTAGCTCCAGCAGAGACAAGATATTTGACGACTTCAAGACGATTTTGAGCTGATGCCCAAATGAGTGGAGTAAACCCATCTTTAGTTTTTGCTTCTCTATTAGCTCCAATTGAGATAAGATATTGAACAACTTCAAGATGGCCATTATATGATGCTAAAATGAGTGGAGTATGTCCAGTAACATCCCGTATATCTTTATCACAATTACATTCAATGAGAGATTTGACAAGTCTGAGATTTCCAGTCCTACTTGCTTCATGAAGTACATTTTGATTATAAGCTCCTAATTTCTTCCAGAGTCCTTCTTCACATGCTTTTGAAAGCATTGTTTTATTTCCTTGAGATGAAAGCTCATTAAGGAAGTCGTAAATACTTTCAAAATCATTAGAATTCTTAAGATCTGCAATTAAAGTTTGAATTTCTCTGTTTCGTTCTTGATTTTGAAATGTATTTAACCTTTCTTGAAGATTTTGTATCTGTTTCGTCAAGTCAGACTTTTCCTTTTCTGATTGAATAAAGAAATCAATAACTCCATCAAGTATTTTCATTTTAAGATATTTCTTTAATGATTTAAGAAGAGAAATAGCGTCTTCAAAGTTTTGAATTGTAATATTTGCGTATCGGGTACTGAAATATAACTTCTTTGCATCGTTTGTAGAATGTGCCTGTTCTAGAATAGTTCTGAAATCATCTGTTGATAAAATTGCAAATTTCATGATTTTAGCAATGTCTTCTTTTTCGAACGTGTCAAATAACTTATTATCTTCAAAATACTCTTTAATGTGAGCTCCGATATATTCGTAATTCTGAATAAGCCCTTCACTCATCAAATCTATTCAAAAAAATTGGAAATTTAATGGTAACATTTGAGAACAACTCATAGAATTGTTTCAAAATTTAAAAATTTGTAACAAGTGATTGTTCATAATAACAATAATGTGTATTCCTTATTTTCTCTTTTAAATTTTTTTTTCACAAAATCTTTCATCAAACGCAATAAGCGCTTTGTGTTCACTCTTTCGAAATGCAATAAAAAACTCGTTCTATCCTATATAATCATTTATATGAACAGTTTATTGAATTCATTCTCTATTGATTACTTTTATTGATTCATTTCCTCATTACATCAAAACACCGAATTAAAAGTTAATCCTAAAGAAGCAAAAGTGATTTTTATAAGTTTAACTGCAACCAATTTCCTTTATGAAAAAGTTTATTATGTTCAATAAAAGTGTTAAAACAACTATGATATGGCAACTTTCTATGTCAACTCACTTCAAAATAAATTGAGAAAATGCGAGAAAGTTGTAAACACTCCCTTAACAAAACCTTTACATAAAAAGTTTATTCTGTAAATAAACTTTACTAATTCAGGGATCACTCGCTTAGTTTACAATTATTCAATACTTTTTCCCTATGATCGATTTGAAATATAGCATGCATTAATCACTGTTTCAAAATCAAAAAAGATCTCGTGAAGATGAATCAAGAATTAATAAAGTTAGTAATCCTTTTACAAGAAATAACAAAACTAATTAAGGGATCACTAGCTTAGTTCACAACTGATCAATACTTTTTTATGAATAAACATAAATATAGCATTCCATTTATCACTGTTTCAAAATCTAATAAAAAGATTAGAATCTCTTAATATAAAAAGTTTAATTCTATAAATAACAAAACAAATTATTCGTCGAATGGAGTTTTCATCTGTTGTTGATTGTTCTGAACGTTTTCAACAAATTCAATCAATGATTCTGGAGGGTCAATTCCTGTTAGTAAGAAGTGATGAAGTAATTTACTTGCAGAATCAATATCTCTTGGTGTCAACAGCGTGAAAGCTGTTCCACTTCTTCCTGCTCGAGCTGTTCTTCCAACTCTGTGAATGTAACTTTCTGGTTGTTCTGGGATATCAACATTCACAACACAGTTGATGTTTTCTATGTCAACACCTCTTGCTGCAATTTCTGTTGCAATGAGGAATCGACATTCTCCTTTCCTGAACTTGTTAAAGGCTGCTGTTCTTTGATTTGCATCCATATTTCCATGAACTAATGTAATCAAATTCGTAATTTTTTTCAAAATTCCGTATAAAGTATCACAGAAATTTTTATCTTTTACGAATAAAAGAACTAAACCATCTGGAAGTTTTAAGAGATTCTCTTTGATCCATTCTCTCTTCTTCGCCGGATCATCAAAGATCACAAAGTTATGTTCGATATTCGATTGAGGAGCTCCTGTTTTTCCAATTTGAACTCGTGTTGAAAACTTCAATGAATTCATTGATAATTCTTCAATTTGAGGAGGCAGCGTTGCACCAAAGAGAAGTGTCTGTCTGTCCGGCCTTATGTAGTCCATGATGGAACGCAATTGACGAAGAAATCCCGTCTCAAAGATTCGATCTGCTTCATCTACAACAACATAAGTACAAAATTGCCAATTTACGGTTTTTAGAAAGTTCATGAGTCTTCCTGGTGTTCCTATTATGACGTCTGCACCTTTCATAAGTGATGATTGCTGCTTGTGCTTCATTTGGTTGCCAGTTAGCTCAACACATTTGATATCAGTTGATTTAATCAATTGATGACAAACTAAAGTAGTTTGGCGTGCAAGTAATTCGGTGGGAGAAAGTATTAATGCTGTTGGACCTTCTTGTTTCCCTTGCGCGAGGACATGATACAATAATGGAATTAAAAAACAAAGAGTTTTGCCGGTTCCTGTTGGAGAAACAACAATTAAATTGTTTCCATTTATTGCTATTGGTAAAACTTGAGCTTGAACTGGTGTTGGCTTGTTAATTGAGTGGTCTTTGAAGAAATTTTCTAATTCTGGACGATTTTCAATGTAAGGTTCGAATGATAATACAGGAGATATTTCACAGCCGATGACTTTGATCTCATTTATTGCTTTATATTCTTCTTCGTCTGCTTTATCGAGATAATAATCTTTTAATTGTTCGAATGTTGTATTTCTTTTGAATGGAGGGTATGTGATTTTTGAATGGTCTGGTGGTAATACATATTCTGGCTCTTCATCGTCATTTTGATTTTTGTTTCCTTCATCATCTTCAAATTCACCTGGTGTAATGAAAGATTTTGATTTTTTTTCGGCATCATCTGAGTCACTACTAGAAAAATCACCTGCTTTTGCTTCTGTGTTGGCATCTAGTCCATCAAAGAAGTCATCAAGAGGATCTTTTTCCATATAAAATAATGGTTTATAGGGGCCATTTCATTAAAGTATTTCATGTATACCAGGAAATATGAGAGTATACAGTGTCATTTTAATACCTAAATGAGAATAAATTTCAAAATTTAATTGATATCAAATATAGAAGAAACCTGATAGAAAAGACTTGAAAATGATATATTTATGTTATATTTTTATTATCATGGTGAGCTTTATAAGATAGAATTTTTGAATTTCTAATTTTTGAAATATTCATTGCGATTTCTTTATAAATACATCACAAACATGATTTTAATTGATATCCATCCTTGGCCATTAGATCTTATCTCTTAAGATATTCTATTTTCAAGGAATTTTTGTCATTTTTTGATGGCTGTTGAGATAGAAAAGATTGTTGGACACAAAAAAGATAAAGGCAAATTAAAATTTATGGTGCGTTTCCAAGGTCTAACCATCGATGAAGACTGTTGGTTCTCAGAAGATCAAATTAAAAATAAAGATTTAATAGACAAGTATTTTGATATAATTCCAAGCAATAAAACAGAATATATACTCGATGATTTCTTATACGCCACAAATGATGTCCTTACTTTAGAGCAATTAAGATACAAAGATCCACTCATGGTCGTTGGATGCTACAAAAAGGATGATTTATTATATTACAGAGTCGAATTTAAGGATCATCGTTATTACTCAGTAGAATCCTCAATTTTAAAGGCAATAAAACCAAAACTTATCATTGATTTCTTCGAACCACGAATTGTTCCTATATAATATTATTATGCGTCGTTGTGTTGCATACTAATTATCCAAATGTTCATTTTAATACGAATAAACTGTTTGAATTTTATGATATCAATGAATTATCTTTAGATTTTCCTTTACCAATAGAAATTTACTACTTTGAAGTAGGAATATTTCATTTAAATTTACATACATTTCATTCATCTTTGAAAATTCCATTCAATAGCGAATTGATAAGATTTATAGCGTTCAACATACTGTAATTAACCAATTATAGCTATTTTTCAGTAATTTGCTTTGAGAAAAATAATATAAATATGAAAGTTACAAAATATTTTTTGAAAAAGCATAAATACATGGCTGATGAGCTAGAACACATGTATTTCTTGGTAGAAGATTATGATTTATCTCTTAAAATTTGATTAAATTGTTATTTTGATTAATATCTCATTTTATTTTTAAATAAAATGAAGAATCTTCTGTTTTATAATAATTGATAAGTCCAAAAAAAGTATAAAAATGTATTCTTAATTAATTTAATATTACAATTTATTTACATTTGTGATTCAGACAGTTCTGGCAAAGATACTTTCCACAAATAGGGCAAAGAGAAATAGAAGGGTTCTTATGACATACATTGCATTGGGAATACTCCGGTTCGCTTGCATTTTTCATTATCGGCTTTAAAATATTCTCCAAATTCTCAACTCTCGATTTCAGACCATTGACTTCCGAGTCAGAAGCGAATTTTGGCGAAATTTCTGGCTTTACAACTCTTTCTTCTGGAGGATACTGAGGCTTCTGATTATTCATTGCTTGTGAAACAATGATATCTGTTAATTTTCTGTTATCCTCGATCAGAATCTTGTTTCGTTCCATCGCATCCTTGTTTTGTTCCATCATATTCTTGGTATGTTCGATCAATGCTTTAATTAATTCTGTATTTTCTGAATTTTGCTGTGGATAAGGTTGATAATATATCGCAGGCTGTTGTGGATATGGTTGTGGGTTGAAAGGAACTGTATTTTGTGGTTGAACCGGAATTTGAGTTGAAATTTCTGGTTTTGGTGGAGTTTGTTCCTTCGTAGATGGAGTTTCAACTTCTTTCTTTGGTTCTGGCTTGACTTCCTTCTGTTCTTCTTCATGTTGAGGAAGTTCTAGTGTATTTATTTGTTGGATCTGAAGTTGGGGCTGAGGAATGGGCTTTGGCTTTTCTTCCTCCTTCTTTGGTGGAGGTGGGGATGGCTGTTTTGGCTTCTTTTCTTCCTTTTTTGGAGGTGGAGGTGGAGTTGCCTTAATTTGTTTAGAATTATCCTTCTTTTGGCCTTTCCTTCCTTGTTTGCTCCTTGTCTCTTCTTCCATTTCGCGTTCCATGTCTTCTAAAGTTAACTTTGGTCCACCATTATTTTGAGATTGCTGTTTAAGTTGGCCAGCAGTAGTTCTAACGTAATCTTTCTTGCCCGTTGGCTTTGTATTGTTCTTTGGTTGTGGTTTTGGTGGTGGATTATTCGCTCTTTGCAAAGAACTAACGTCAGAAATTATTCCTCTTCCATTTGCCATTGCTTCTTCAAAAGATTCATATCCGAGGTCTTTGAGTACCTTTTCTGGATCGGTATAGCGAGTATATGGATCCAATTGTGGCTGATCTCCAATATCAATTGTTGATACATCAGTAATTTCTTGTTTAAACTTGTCTGTGTCTTTGGTAAGTAATTCTTCATCGGAATTTAGTAATTCTGATTCGCTATTGCAAATTTTTACGATTTCATCTTGATGTTTCTGTTTTGCGTAATCAACGACATTAATTGAATCTTCATTTTTCAAGTCTGGTCTTGCCCCGTGCCTTTTTAGCAACGCTGCTGCTTTTTCGTCAGCAAATTGGATGGAAAGATGCAAAGGAGTCTCTCCTCTGTTGTTTTGAGCATTAACATTAGCACCTTTTTGTATCAAGAGTAAAAGTAATTTCCTATGTCCTAGTAATGCGGCGTAATGAAGTGGAGTTTCTTTTGATTCTCCAAGAATATTTGGATTAGCACCATGCGCTAAGAGGTATTCTGCAATGTCTAGATTGTTCGTATAAGCTGCAATATGAAGTGGCGCCCATCCTGAATTCTTATCTATTGCATTAACATCTGCATTGTTGTCAATAAAAACCTTAGCACATTCGTTTCTGCCCAGAAAAATGCACAAATGTAGTGGCAATGGGTTATTTAATTTGTGATATTTTCCTGAACATGTACAAAGTATAGGGGCTTTCGAGCGTGCACCGATATTTGACATATCCTTTAGTTTTTCAACATTGTTTTTTAAGATCTCCGTCGCTGTAAACCACATTTAAAACTTATGTCAAAATTTATACTTTTACCAACAAAAAATTTTCAATGACGCATTTTCCACTATGGAAAAAAGTCTTAGGTATGGAACATAACGAAGCACTTTCACCTGAAAAGTCCCTGAATAAGTTAGAGGAGGTTCATAAACCCCAAAATCAGGTCAAATTGAAGTAATTTTTATGTATAGTCATGGAAAAAACGTATATAATAGAGAAGAATGATGATATAGGCAACTTACAATAATGTTTTGTTATGAAACTTCAATATTTTTTGAAGATCAAGAGAATCAACTTGTTTTCATTACTTTTTTGGTAAACTCGCTTCTAAGATGACAATATGTCAAATGATTTCTAATTTTGGGATAAATATAAGATATATATAACCATGTGGATGTAATTATTTCGTATATCATGTTGTTGGATTCTAGATCAGATGTCTGCCTCTTATTTGATTAAAATATGTAAATATTTTAAAATATTACTATATTGAATATACATTGATAATATCCTCAATGATTCAAAAGATATGGAATGCATTAAGACATAAGTTCAGGACTTGATAAAAAAAATTAAAATTATTATATCAAAGAAATTTAGGATTCCTTTCTTTTAATTTCTTTAATTATAGTTAATTGAATTTAAACATTTTACTAAAATTATTTAATATTAATTTATAATATTCAACTATATTTTTCAATTAGAATGCCTCAATCATCATCAAATAGAGCATCTGTTCTCGAAATTAATGTAATTAATGTTTGAAATCATTTTTAAGTTTGATTTTAAAATAAAAATGTGTATAAAAACTAATTTTGAGCTGAATATGTATTGTATATATAATGTATATAATTCTCAAAGCTCAAAATCGAATGAAAATTAAATTTGTTGTATTGATTTGAATGCTTTGAATGACTATCAATTTTTTGAGAGAGAAATGGATTCAATTACTTTTTTTTTCTCGCCGTTGAGAAAAATTTTTTGATTTCAACCATTACTAAATCCATGGCATTAATTCGGTTCAATCAAAAAAACATTGATATTATGAATTCGGACTGAAATCAAAGAAATTGGTATATATATATATATATGCTTTTTATTTCCTTCTGTATAATAAATATAAAAATTGAATAATTATTTTATCCCTTCTGAAAATTGTTACCAACGGTATAAGAATAGAGATAAATTTAATAATGTTAGCGTTCATTGTTGATAGTATATGGTTCATTTATAAATATGAAATTGAGAGATTGTGTTTTTGAATACATTCAAACCTTTTCAATTCGATACTTCATTTTTAGTTAATGCTTTGGATTCTTGTGCTCCAATCCAAATCATTTCGGGTTGATGAATGTATTGATTACAACAAATCATCAGATATCCATGAAATTTTTAATAATTATCACAATTACGAAATAAAGAAGAATGAACAAATGTGCTTTATCGGAGACTTTATATTTAGTTCTGATAAGGAATTTCAAGCAAAGACAATCTTAATAGCTGCAAGAGGATATAACGGAGAATCAAAATCCACAGAATGGATAAAGGATCCAGTTGCTGTTACAGGCGGATGTTACAATGATAAGAATGGAGTTGAACTCTGTTACAATGCTAGAACTAATATTCAATGTTTACAAGATAAATGCAATTTCACAGTTATAAAGATAAATGTTCAACCGCGAAACATATCCTTCAAAGGAATAATCAATAATGTTGCTGGATATGATTTTAAGGATATTGATATGGTGACAATCGGAACAAAAGAGAAAGGTTCAATGGAGTTATATACATTCAGTAACCTGCGAAGATATAAGGATGGTCATCTTACAGGTGTAAGTTTCAGACATTATGGAATTGTTGTCCAAAATGGAAAACCAGAATTTAAAGCAACAAACACTTCAAAAGCTAGATCTTGGCTAATGGGAGAAGACGGTAACTCATGTAGATTTACAACTTCTGGTACTTCCAGTGATGTCTTCCTTCATGTGGATTACTTCAAAGGCGTTGATACAGAGAAGACTCGCAAACTATATTTGAAAGAGTTCCAAATAACTCTTAATCCAGAAGGTGGCTTATATACAAAGGACTCACCAAGCTATGAATTTCCAAGATTTAAGAAACCTCTTGAACCAATTATTATCGTTTTGATTGTAGGCATTATTCTTGGTATTTTTGGTATAATTGGTTGTGTTGTATGCTGCGTTTTCTGCCCATGCTGCTGTTGCAACGCATTCTGTGTAAATTGCATGCCATGCTGCCCAATAAATTCAGCAAATAAAGAAGCTGCACCAGAAGTTTAAATAAATCATTAATTATTGATTATTTTATACTTTATTAATGTAGATTTTAAACAAAATCTTAATCTATATTGCCTATGTGATTACAAAAGCAAATAACTAAGGTTTCAAATATAGATGCGATTTTCTTCCGTAGGGCAGAAAAATCCACCCAAATTTGTAGATCCTTTTATGAAGCAATTAATAATGGATAGAATAGTGAATCTATATATCTTTGATATCTGGATAAAATGCATGTATTATGAAAAATGAAGAAATTTTTGAGAGCTTTTTCAAAATCAAATCAACTCATTCCATAATTTACATGGAACAATGCTTTATTATTCTACTAAGACAGTTCCACCCGTTACTTTGGTTTACCATCGCTAATTCTTAGCTTCTTTTAGAATAATAAAGGTTACCATATCTAAAAGACGACTTTTTATAATAAGGTTCTTATTGAGAGAGGATTCAATTTTTTCAAAAAAATATTCTACTGGCGTGAAGCGCCACTGAAATACAAATATAATCAAAAATAACACATACATTTTTATATACACAATAAATATATTAACGGTATCTATTACTTGGTCCTGATGGTGGTAAATAAGGATCATCTTCACGTGGTCGCCTTTGAATCATATGTGGAGGCGGAGGAGGTGGAGGTGTTAGAGGCATTGGAGGATGAGGAAACATCATTTGAGGAGGAATGGGTGGATGTGAGTACATCATTGACGGAGGAATTGGAGGAGGAGGGATCATCATTTGTGATTGAGGAGGAATTGGTCTTTGAGGATGAAGAGAATGCTGTGGAGGCTTTGAAAGTAATGATGGAGGCGGCGGTGGAGGCAAAAATGAAGGAGGAAGATATGGATTTGGAATTGGTGGTTGTAAAGGAGGAATCTGCTGAGGAGTAGGTACCATTTGAGATTCTGATCTACGCATTGCCATTTTTCTTGCGCTTGGTAGCATTCCGTCGTCATCATCTTTGGTATTTTTGGGAGATGGCCTTCTTTCTTCTTCTCTTGCATGAAAAACTTTTCTTTTATCATTACTTGGTGAATCATGCACTCTTTCTGATGAATTTCTTTCGGAATTATGTTCTTTTCTCGAATAAGAATCGTAACGGCTTCTTTCTGGCGAAGATCTGCCATTATCTGAGAATCTGACTGACTGTGATCTCCTTTTCGTATCCGATGGTAAAAATTCTGGGTCATCATAACGAGATAAAATTCTATGTTCTTCTCCATTCCTTCTGTAACGGTCATCTCTGTATCTAACTGGGCTGATTTCCCTTTCTGGAGGTGGACTTGGCCTATCAGGAGGAAGTAAATCTTTCATATAATTTGACGGCATCGAAAGATGCTGAATATAGACTCTTTTCAACAGAGATGTATCGGAACCTTTCTCTGTAATTATTTTGGATATCTTTTTTACCAAATCAGATCTCATATCTGCTTTTGATGGGAAAACCTTTGAAATCTTATCATAAACTACAAATGTATTAGCTATAGAGAAGTTTTCCTCTCTTTTAAGTAGAATATTTAGCTTATCCATTAAAAGATTTTCCAAATCTCTTGAAATTTCAATCATTTCGAGCAAATTCGCAATCAAATAACCTAAATTCCTTGATTCCTCAAATGTCGATGAGAAAACAACAAAATGGAGTTTAGATAATATCGTAATCAACAGTTTTTTCACATCAAAATCATCCAAAATTTCTCTAAGTTTTTTGACGAATTCAACACAAAAGAAGGCATCAAAATTAGAGAAAATAGTTCTCGGAAGTAAACACTTGTACGTGAAATCAATGTATTTCTCATCATTATCGAACCAATCAAATGAATTATGATATAATAAATTTGTCACTTTTTCTGTCATATTTTTTTGTTCATCTTCAGCCAAATTTAGTTTAGATTTGAGTAACGGCATGAAGTCTTTGTTTGTTTCATCAGTTAACTTATCAATTTCTTCCTTGGACTTGGAATAAACTGATTTTGGAACATATAAATGAAAAGGTGACAAAATCCAGAAAATTTCTGACAATTTTTGTTTGGAAATCACTTCATTTATGTCATCAATCGATAATTTGGAAACAAGTCTTGATATATGATAAGAAGATGCCAAAGAAAATCCGAAATTTTTGTCAGTTTTTTCCAAATTTATTTTTGAAACATCAGAAATCGTAATAAAAAGGAATCTCAAGTTATCTATTGAATCATGGCTCAGCAATGAGCTATTTATCATCTTATCAAGACATATAAGTAAATCAAGACCTTCCTTATTCAATTTTTCTGTCACTTTTTGTGAAATTTTGACAAATTCTTCATTATTTTTTGAATTTGCTCTTGCAAGTAGTCTTTCCAAGTTATTTGATGATTTTATGTCTATATCATATTGCGACATGTTTCCTCTATAGCATATACCGCATGTTTCGTTGATGAAATACGTCAATAAACAGGCGTATTTCGTTTGAGAATTATTTAATCCTTTTTTACAAATATCAATGAAATCAGAAATGATTTTTGCATCACAAACATGTCGTATTATTTTACTAATGAACATGGATACATCTACCAGCCATTCTGAAACATTTTCTTGCGATTTTTTGATTTTGTTGTTTTCTATTGATTCCAAAAGTGACAAAATAAGAAAATCTGACATAACCGTTGAAAAATTCATACAAAGATTCAAAGGAATTGATGTTAGAGGAGATACTTCGCATATATGATTGAGTAACATGTTCAATGACTTGTCAGGACACTTTGCAAAGTATTTCGTGAATTTTTCTGTGTATTGAGTTGGATTCTCTACTGATAAGCGCTTGAAAATGAATTTGAGCTTGCGGGAGATCTTTGCGCTATTGATTATCATGGTTCTTTGCTTCTGTTGTAAGTTTACAAAGTTATTATAAATTATTAATCTTTGATTAGCGGAAAACTTCTGTATTTTGAGCCAAATAGCATCAGCAAATTCTTTATTGCCTGGTTTCATGGCGAATTGTGGCAAAATATAAAAAGAAAACGCATAAGCAGGTAAATTATAATTATTAAGTATTTGTAAAGCTAATTCTTGATCACAAACGTAGCCAGAGAGATATTTAAGTGTTTCAAATACGAATGATTCACCTTTTGACACTTTATTTCTGATTATTTCTTGTAAGATATTATTTATTTGATGTAATTCACATGGCTCTGATTTGGCGAGTTTTGCAATGCTTGTAATGGTCGATTTTTCATCTGTTGAGTTAAGAATGGCTTGAAATGGAACAAATTTTAATAAATCGTTTAAAGAGTTGTTATATTGAAGATAAAGACTGTCAAGTTCTTCATTTTGGTATACTTCAGATGGAAGAACGATTCTTGGCATCATTTCGATACTTGCGATTTTTGATGCAAAATCTGATAATTCATTAAGCTTAATAACATAAGTAGTATCCATAAGAGAGTCTAACTGCTTCATTTCTGATTCGGATAATGAAAAATTGAGAAGAATGAATGAAATTAATGAAGATGATGGTTTAATAAACGTTGTTCTGGATAATGAAGTGTATGTATTGATTACGGAGCTTGAATCAAAGATTAGAAGTCTATTGGCAATATGTTCTGTGCAATTTTTTTCGAGAATCGTGAAAATGAGCGTAATGACCATTTGAATATCGAGTTTATAGTAATAGATTATGGAAATAACTGAGTCATTATCGACTTTTGAAAACAATGTGACCAATAAAACTGCAAAACCTTCGGGAATGTCTTTGGGCGATGAAAATGTAGCATATTTTTGAGAATTTGTTGATTCTTCTTTAATAAAAGTTGCTAATTTTGACTGTTGTGAATTGTCAATGCTATGTAGATCGGTTTTATCAAAGACTGCTAAAATTTCGGTTTGAATTTTTGGACTTGTATTAATATATTCCTTTAAAACCCCATGGATACGATTTACTATTGATAGGGTAGCATTGTCGTAGTATATTTTATACATGTCAAGCAAAGTCCACAAAATTGAAATGAAATTCAAAGAATTCTCTTCGTTTTTGGTCAAATATTCCACAATACTATTGATGGTGTAGCTTTCATCGTGCAACATGCGGTTTAAATCGGATGTTGCACTAGAAAACCATTCACTCATCTCGCGATTCTCAAAAATTGAAAGAGAAATCAGTCAAAAATCAAATAAATCTCATTTTCATTCTGCAGATAGTATATATCAAGATTCTTATTCTACAATTTACAAGGAGTATTCAAATTTTGAACTCACTCCTCTGAATATTCATCATTGATTATTGACATTTTTACAACTCGGCTTATAGCCGAACCAGCAAAAGAAAATGTTCTGAAGGAGTACAGCAACACATCAAGGTTTAAATAAATGTTAAATCTAAATTTAACAAGTTTTCTTGTATTGTATTCCATGTTAAACTTTCTTCTAGAGATAACCAAAAGTATAACTATCAGAACACATGACTCAGACTGCTTGATATAGGAAAATAATTAATCTATGTCTTAATATCATTTATGTTTATGAATTTGTTCACTTTGTTTAAAGAGAATGAAGGAGAATATCTTAAACTTGCATGTGTTAATAACATTGTACTATATCATACCTCATAATAAGATAGACAACAGAATGATTCCCTATATGAAATTCGTTTTCTATGTATTCGGGCTGAAACTACTAGGATATCCGGTAGTCCATAAAGGAACAATATGTATTTGGTCTGAAAAGATAGTCTGAATATAAAATGTGTAAATTCCTCAATAAATTTTCTGATGATTATTTTGTAAAGCTATTACACTGTTACATATGGAAAGCGAAGAGGCAAAGATTCCAATATCAATAGCTGATGAGCAAATAGCTATTAAAAACCACGACTATGATCAGGCCGAAGCTATTTATCAAGCGCGACTTGAAACTGAAAGGCAAGATTTTGATGATGATACAAATAATATATTAGACTCAGTGGACCAGGCCAAAATTATGAATTCATCAAAGTGCATACAAGAAATGGAAAAATCAACCAGAAATCTCGAAAATGGACGCGATATTTTAACGTCAAGTTTAGCCGAAGAACTTGAAAAGCTCGCAGGCAAACAAAAAGAAGAACTCGAAACTCTTAAAAGCAACTGGAGATCAGATCGCGAACAGGCAATAAACAGAGCTGTTGAGAGAGCAGATAATATGATTCTTTCCTCTCAAGAGCTTGCTGCTGTTCACTGCTATGAAGCTGCAAAAGATCTTTTAGCCCAAGGTACAGAAATTAAAGAAAACCCAACTGCAACGAAAGAAGTTTCAGAAATTGATGAACATTACCGCCGTTTAACTGATGCTACATTAGCAAGACATCGCACTGATCTTGAAACATTACGCTATCAGTACTCTCTTGATGCTCTTCTTCTTGATCAAAAATGTGAAGGAGAATGCATTGCATTTTGTAGCAAATGTGATGTTGCAAATTCAAATATCGGACCATCCCTTGCAAATTCGAGCAGAAGCCCTCATAAACCAGCAACGCTTAACATGGTCAGATTAACTTCTCCAAGATCTGCCCAGAAAAGCTCAAGAAATGCTACGAAAGGATCAAGTATTTACGATGATGAGTTACCATTCTCTCCACCACGTTCACCAAACCGCATGGCAAACAGAAATTAATATTTCATCTTTTTTATCTTAGTATTGATATTCATAAAATATTACAACTATTTGTATGCTTATCCTACTTTCTTTTTTTTTTTAATATTAAATTTTCGATAAGATATCGTTTCATCTCTGCTTCTAACTTTGATGTATTTTAATTGTCTGACCCTAAGTAATTCAATAGAGTCTGGAAATAGTAAAAAAAAGTAGAAATTTGAAATTGACATTTTAATAAACAAAGAATAAAACAACAAGGTAAATATATAGCATGCATTCAAGATTGTTTGAAAAACACCCTTGAACGAACGCATAAGATAAGGAAATTCTTCTAAATAAACTTAACTTTCCTGTATCCTTGTAATTTAGCTCTGTGGAGTGATGGTACGAACTCATTGTCGTTCTTAATTCGAATTTCGGTATCTGGTGAAAATGAAAATTCGCCATTAAATCTTGGTGATCGATTATCTAAAGATGGACTGTAGTAGTTTAATGCATCACTATGCATGTTAATGTTTGAGTTTAATTCTGTGGAAGAGAAGGAAACTGCATATCCACCGGTATCTCTTGCAGGAAAAGAGCAAATAATGTAGTTATTCTGATGAATTGAATCATTACTTCCATTATAAGAGCATACTTCATTATCATTGTAAAAACTGAAGTTATTATTTCCGGCAAGCATGAGAATTATTAATTCTAATGTTTCTTCACAAAAAAATTGTGAGTGTATACAATATTTTAATATGAAATATAAGCATATCAACATGAAATAAATATGATTTAACAAGTGAGGTGAAAACATCATTGTTTTTCATCGTTTTGTTTGGAAATTTGCCAATAATTGATATATTTCATATTGTATCACATCAAAGGATATTTTTATCTTTGGAGAAACTTATCAGTGAAAAAAATACGTTGAATTTTTGAGAACTTTTATGATTCATAATTATAATGGGCTCAAAGATGTTCAAAAGTAATAGTTCTGTATCCAGTTTGTTCCACTAATGTAACTGAGAGCTTTCGGACGATTGATTAATTGAAAAAATTAATTCATAAAAATATTTTGATAGTTATCTCAAGAATTTAAGGATAAAAATATTATTTTCTGGAAAATATAATACAGATACCGTTTTAAAATCCATTAATCGAGCTTATTCATGGAGAAAAATGTAATTTATTTTGAAAATATTCCAAAAAAAATTCAAATTTCAAAAAATGATAATGAAAACACAGAAAGTACCATTGCAAATTTAGAAAATGAAAAAAATTTGGAGAACCAAGTCTCTTTATTCCTGCTTACATGCTTCATATGACATAGAATTTCCTTAAATGGGCAGAATTTTGTTGGAATTGATTTCTTATTTTCACAACTACGATTTCAAGCTAGATAACTTATAGATATTTTATATATAGACGAGTTATTAAGAAGATTTAACTCATTTTTAATACCTGATAAAGAATATTTCAATATTATTTTGTTATATGTACTAAATAAGCTTTTAATATTACTGTTTTCATTAATCCATTCCACATAAATGAAAAATTCTCCATAATGATCATGGATATACTGTTCAGTAGAACAAACATTCTGATCATGGACAAATATTTTTTGTCTTCGGGGGAACATTAAATCCATATTTCATTAAGTATCCAATATGTTGTCTATAACTAGAACGAAATTCTGCCCTACGACTAAAAAAATCTCACCTTTTGTTGATGAAATATTTTTTCTGAGACTGTTGAATTTTAAAATTTTCTATCGTCCAATCATTTTTATATGGCTGAACCTGAATTTATCTGGGTATTCTCATCTGATTTTGAAGAAGATGATGACTTAGATATGATAGATGATATATTATACGATGTTGAAGAATCGTATGATATCTCACAGTGCGATGAATCAAAAATGATTTCATTTCTCAGAAAGCATAACTATGACATTGATTTACTAATCGATGCCGGATTAAATGGAGAATTTGGTGAATTTGTTTCATTAAATGAAGATTATGAGGCCGAAATTTCTTCTAATGGCAAAGTTAGAGTTAAAAAGGTTTCATTAACACAAAACAAACAACCAGTAAAGACATCAGCAAAAGCATCCAAGAAACGTCCTAACAAACAGTCTGAAGCTCCAAATTTGGAGCCAATACAACTTACATTTTTCGGAACTCAAGATTCTGATGCAACTGCATTAATTAACAGAGTTTTCGGTGGCAAGGGGTCTTTCAGTATCAGAAATAGAGAATTTAAATACGATCTTATTGAAAATAACGAAGAATATATTCCTACTGTCGCAAATCCAGTTTTCGTATTTAATGCCATCAATAATTCATTGAGATCAGATCTTATGTCCATACCACAAACTCTTATTCCTCCAAATCAAGTAGTTGATCCAGACAAATCCAAACCAAATCAAGAAGTTGATCCAAACAATTCTGACTTAAATCAAGAAGTTGATCCAGACAAATCCGAATTAAATCAAGAAGTTGATCCAGACAAATCCGAATTAAATCAAGAAGTTGATCCAAACAATTCTGACTTAAATCAAGAAGAGGACAAAGCAAATGAATACCCTAAGCCAGTTTATAAAAAGGCAATTTACATTGTTCTCAACAAATTCGATTTAGTTCCAAAAGATCAGATGGAAAAGTTATTCAATACAACAAGCGCCAGAATTAGAGATATAATGAAATGCAATAACCTTCGTAATTTCCATATTATTCCAATTTCTACCGCAAAGGACACTAATATCTTCACAAAAGGATATACATTCTACCAAGGTGACCAATTTTCAAAATTACTTAACTTCTCGCTCTAAATAAACCATTTGTTTTTGTTATTTTGATTGATTTTTTTCTCATCCTTTTCGAAAAAAAGTGACAATTTCATAATGTTTCAATCTAAAGAAAATTGCGTAGTTCTTGTTAAAGGATTATCATTTAATGTAAGAGCTTCACACGCGAATGAAATATTTAAGAATTATGGCCACGTTAACAGCGTTGAAGTAGCCTATGTCAAAGGCCATTCAACTGGCTGGGCATACGTCCATTTTTCTACTCCTGAAGAAGCCCAAAAAGCTATAGATAGGATGGATGGTGGCTGCATTGATGGATGCACCATTTCTGTAACTTTAATTAATCCAACCATGCCAATTGAGGCATATTACCACATGTGCAACTAACAATCATAATGTGTGCATGATCACCTCAACAAATTATCGAGAAGTAACTTTATTTATTCATCCGAAATTCATACTTTTATTTGATCAGAAACCAATTACATATCACACTAATACAGTAACTTTTACATTGCACTTCAATTAAATTTTCTCTTGAAATCGATATTTACATATCAAAACGAAAACAGAACCATTTTAGTAGTTTGATACCCATCACAAAACTATGCCATTACAAAATTATACATTCCTAAGCAATCAAATTCTAATTTATAAAAAATAAAATTATTTTATTTTCGATGTTATACTTAACCCATTTCCTTTAAGATCACATAGCAACCCATTTACCAATCCATAAAAATTACTTTGTAATTCAAATAAAATTTATTTTTATTTCTTTGATTTTGCTTTACTTTACTTTGTCGTTCTGATATTAAAAAAAAAAAAAAAAAAAAAAAAAAAAAAAAAAAAAAAAAAAAAAAAAAAAAAAAAAAAAAAAAAAAAAAAAAAAAAAAAAAAAAAAAAAAAAAAAAAAAAGGTAGTGGGGCTTCCAGGCACTTCGTGCCTTCTAGCCCTGAAGATGTTTAGTATAAATGAAGTCTTAGAGGACAAACATGACTATGAGTTTTGATATGACAAGATAGAATATGAGAGAGGTCCTATAAACCGGAGAAAGTGTTATATAAACATCTGTCATATTACTCAGAATATTATACAGAATTCAATAAAAATATATTTTAGGTGAAGAGGTGAGATTTCACCTGTTTTTTCACCTCATTTTTCACCTCTTGAATTTTCATGAATTTCATCGTAAAGACTTTGTCAAGATTTCATCGTAAAGACTTTGTCAAGACTTCTTCGTAAATGTTTTGTCAAGACTTCTTCTTCGTAAATGTTTTGTCAAGACTTCTTCTTCGTAAATGTTTTGTCAAGACTTCTTCTTCGTAAATGTTTTGTCAAGACTTCTTCGTAAATGTTTTGTCAAGACTTCTTCTTCGTAAATGTTTTGTCAAGACTTCTTCTTCGTAAATTTACACCAAAAATATATTTTAGGTGAAGAGGTGAGATTTCACCTGTTTTTTCACCTCATTTCTCACCTCTTGAATTTTCATGAAATTTACACCAAAAATAATGTTTAGGTGAAGAGGTGAGATTTCACCTGTTTTTTCACCTAATTTTTCACCCTCTTGAATTTTCATGAAATTTACACCAAAAATATACTACTAGGGTCATTTACGAAGAAATCTCAACAAAGTCTTTACGATGAATCTTGACAAAGTCTTTACGAAGAAATCTCAACAAAGTCTTTACGAAGAAATCTCAACAAAACATAGACAAGAAAGTTCATGAGAAATTAGATGAAGAAGTCTTAACAAAGTCTTTACGAAGAAATTCATGAAAATTCAAGAGGTGAGAAATGAGGTGAAAAAAGAGGTGAAATCTCACCTCTTCACCTAAAATATATTTTTGGGTCATTTTACGAAGAAATCTCAACAAAGTCTTTACGATGAAATCTTGACAAAACATAGACAAGAAAGTTCATGAGAAATTAGATGAAGAAGTCTTAACAAAGTCTTTACGAAGAAATTCATGAAAATTCAAGAGGTGAGAAATGAGGTGAAAAAAGAGGTGAAATCTCACCTCTTCACCTAAAATATATTTTTGGGTCATTTACACTCATTTACGAAGAAAAAACATTTTTATTATATATATAAAATGAATTTTACAAAACCACCGTTACCCTTCTTTGGAAATAAGAGTAGATGTAAAGATATTCTATTGAGAGAACTTAAGAAACTACCGAATGGTCTAACATTTGTAGATTTGTTCGGTGGAAGTTTCTATATATCTCATTTGTGCCATACTGTATTTCCTGACTCAAAGATTATATGCAATGACTTCGACAACTATATGAACCGTCTCAAACATATACCAGACACAAACAACATATTGAAAGAGTTAAAAGAAAAAATACCTATAGGTAAGATGGAACGTATACCATTAGATAAGAAAAAATACTGTCAGAGAGGTTTTGAAAAAAGCAGAGTATATTGACTGGGATAGTATATCTTCTAGACTATTGTATAGTGGTTCTATAAGAGTTCATGACATTGAAACACTTATGTCAAAAGTTTTATATCTTAACTATACAAATGTTTTCAAAGAGAACATAGAAAAATATTATTGAGGGTATAGAGTTTGTGAGATGTTCATTGTGACAGAGTTGTATGAAAATATAAAGACAAGGAAAATGTTTTCTTTATAGTGGACCCGCCGTTCTATAACACATGGATTTTCAATACCAAGTTAGACTGGACTTTGAGAGACTCTTTAGAAACTTTAGACGTTTTACATAACCATCCATGCTTTTACTTTACATCGATAAAAGTGGTTTGGAAAGTGTCATGAGATGGTTAGAGGACATACATGACTATGAGTTTAGATACGATAAGATAGAATATGAGAGAGGTCCTATAAACTGGAGAAAGTGTCATAACAAAGAAATTTTACTAGTAAGTAAATGTGGTTTGAAATAGGACTACTTGTTTTAGGTTTTTTCCATTGTGTTCATTTACTTTATTTGACGTGGCAGAAAGATATAGAGAATATGAAGATGAACCAATGCCTGCAAATGTTCAGTATATGTACTCGTAAGAGATATTTTATCTAATATTAAATGGACGCACAGAACTTAGCGAATGCACAGCAACCTGGACAACCAAACCCAGAGAATATTCCAAATGAAGTTAGAATACAAACTGCAATGGCAAACTATGGTCAAGTGCCAACAGATGTACAAATGCAAACTGCCATGTCAAATGACGCTGCGTTAGGTTTGCCACCATGGTATGCAAATATGAGATGGAAAGAGTTTTATACAAACCCTGAAGTGGGATATAAACAACTTTATGCAGATGACGCGAACACAGGAGTTGACCCAGAATATGTTTTCTACCAGAGGAGAAACAGAATGTATGAGCTCCAGTTAAAGAATGCTATGGAACTCAACAGGAAACGTAAGAGACTAGGCGGACATTAGATTTTTACATATAGTAAAATGGGTTTCTTCAGTAGTATTGGAAACTTCTTTCGAAATGTTGGAAGAGGTATATGGAATGGAATAAAACCGTAGGAAGAGGAATTTGGAACGGAGTCAAAAATATTGGTAAAAGGGTAGGTCAGTTTGTTGGTATTATACCTAAAGACCCTGAACCAGAAGAACAAGCTCCTGTTATACAACAGCCTGAACCTGCACCACAGTCAAGTTGGCAACCAAATCCAACACCTCAACCGTATTAAAAAGTTATATTTTTACCGTTCGATAGTAGTTGTATATGAAACTAAGTTCTAAGTAAAACGCGTGTATAATGGAATTATTCTCTTTCTTCCATCTGTAGTAAACCATACTTGAAAGTCTGAAATACTTCCACTCGGTGGTTCATATAGCTTTGTAGGTTTTTCGTAAAAGTCATTTGCCAAGCATAAAAAAGAGTTTTGGGCGCCAGAAAATGAAGCATGAACTATAATAGCATCTGAGTCAAAACATTTTCATATGTTCCATTAGGGTTTTCGACTTCATAAAAGTCTTGGGTGTACTGGATATTCTGCAGGCTGATTTAACATCCTCAGAAACCTATACCATGCCAAGTTGTTATATTTTGTAGAAATATAAACGTCTTCTCCAAGGTCTTCTATTCTATTGATTTTAACAGTTGCATTTTTCCTGTCATATATATATCGAGATGGTACTCTCCTTCGTCAATGTTGTACTGTTTTGCATATTCGAGATAGATATCGTTTATTTTTTCTTGAAAAGCTTGAAGAGTTGTTTCTAAGTTTACAAGCAAATTCACTTGTAAAAGTTTTCCCTGTTCAAATTTCTCATACGTACGTTTTTCTTTGTTATAGTATCGAACTTCAAAAGCGACCGTAAATGGGAAACCATGTATGGCTTCTGAAATGAACTTCATTCTACGAAAGCCAATAGCTTTTGTGACGGATGGGTCTCTTAACCATCTAAGTGGGTAGTCAAAACGATAGCCTTCATGCTTTACGGTCTCTGTCTCAAACTTTTGACCGACATTAGTAAAAAGTTCATCTAATGGTTTAGTTGTAGCAACTCTTGAATTTTCTTTTTCTATTGAAAGCATATTTTATCTAGAATAAAAATGTCGAAAGAAACAGCGTCTATGAGAGAAATACAACACAACCGACAACTCATTTTGCAAGCTCTAAATAAGAACACAACAAACTTTTCAAACTATTCTAAGATATCTGAGTCATTGAAAGAAGGAAACTTAAAACTGACGATAAACCCAATGACAGATGAGTTTCTGTTTCAAGACAGTAAGAACCATACTGTCTGTGTAAATCCAACAAAAGGAACTTTAAACGAGAAACCTATATCTGAACTTCTTTTGAAGGCAGATATTGACAACAAAGCTGACAAAGAGTATGTAGATGCAACAAGAGACTATATTCTCGCATGGACAGATAGAACATACCCACAAAAACATCATACACATAACATCTATGACGTAGATGAACTACCAGCAATGTTAGATGACAAAGCAGATAAAACATATGTTGACAATAAAATGTCAAGTGAAGTGACAAGAGCTGACAAAGAATATTCTAAAAAGACTCATACACATACCATATCTGATATTACAAACTTACAAGAAACCTTAAACAGGAAAAGTGACGTTGGACATACACACGATTTCTTCGCAACTGTTGGTATAGAAAATATTGAAGGAACGGTTGAAGAAACTGGTGGGGATGTATTAAATTGGAAACCTCCTAACTTTCCACAAGGTTTAACATCGGATGACGACATAACAACGATGAGAAACATTAGATGTAGAGATGTTTATGTCATGGAGGATGAAAATAAAGTTAAATTCACTGCTCAAGATTTATATGACAAGAAAGCAGACAAAACAGAGCTTCAAACATTAAAGACAGAAATACTTCAAACCATTTACCCAGTTGGTTCTATTTAT